CTGGATAGTTTCAGAAAAACCTGGGAAGATTTATAAATATTGATGCAAAGTGAAGTGAGCAGAACCAGGAGAACATTGTATATAGTAACAGCAACATTCTAACACCATCCATTCTGAAAGATTTAACTACTTTGATCAAGATAATGATCCAAGGCAATTCCAAAGGACCCATGATGAAAAATGCTATCTACCTCCAGAGAGAGAACTGATGAATTCTGAGTGTAAATTGAAGTATGATTTTTTTCACTTTAATTTTCCTGCTTTTTTTCCCCAATATGGCCAATATGGAAATATATTTACATGATTTCACATGTATAGTTCATATCATATGGCTTGCCTTCTCAATATGTGGAGGAGGGGTTAGTTGGAGGGAAAGGATTAGGAACTCAATAAAAAATTTTTTTTAAGTTAAAATAAATAAATAATAAATTAAAAAGAAAAACCCCACCTATTTTACATTCCCCAACTCAAACACAACTATTCCCATGAAATTTTCCTGTGTTTCTTCCTATTTTCAAGTCATCTCTCTTGCTTTTAAACAATGTACTATTTCTCTTCTAATTGAACTTACCACATTTATCTCTATACTATCTCTCTTTGTGTTGCGCTATAAGGCTAGAGACAATTCTTCGTTCACTTCTATTTCCCCTAAGAAGTGTCCAACAACCCATTGAATGATTTAGTAGGTAAAGAAAAGGAAAAAATGACTACCTGTATGGTAACAATACAAAATTTTAGTTTCTGGGTTGCACATAGTAGGGATTTATTAAATACATATTGTATTGAATTTATCACACAGTAAGTTTTTGAGGCAGGATTTGAACCCATGATGTATGTAGATACTATTTTAACTCTGATTTCTATAGATGCAGTTTTTTTTAAAGGCAATTGGGGTTAAGTGACTTGCCCACAGTCACACAGCTAGTAAGTGTCAAGTGTTTGGTCTGAGGCCGGATTTGAACTCAGGTCCTCCTGACTTCAGGGCTGGTGGTCTATCCACTGTGCCACCTAGCTGCCCCTGTAGATGCAGTTCTTAAGAAAGTCCTACTGGAGATGACTGGTTTGTAGACTCTCTATGGTCTCAGAGTATTTGAACTTGTCATTACTCAGCCCACTAATGAGGAATAATGTCAGAGTAAGTGCATCAATTTAATGAATAAATTCCATTTGCATTTTTTACATTGAAATTTTATGCTTCAGAAATTACTTCTACGCAAGTGACTTCTGAATCCATATCTCTAGTCCAAAACTCCCTATTGAGCTCCACATACTACAGATCGGTTCATCTTAGATATCCCACTGGCACATCAAATTCTGTTCAATACTGTAGTATTCCAATGGATCAGTGAGCTTATTATCAATGTGGGTACTCCCTCCCATGGTGCAGGTTGTAACCCACCCTTACCTGCTCATATTGTGTTACTCTTATTTATATCTTCCCATAAATCCACCCAGTGTGCTGGGGGCCTTCCTTATATTCTCTTAACATTTAATACAGATACCACTAGAACATGTGGTCTGATCTTGCTCTCCCTATGTAATCAGTTGATCTTATTCTCAGTCATACATTTCTCTGATAACATCTTTTATATCATTTCTCCTGCTTAATACTTCATTCATAATGTGTTGCAACCCATTCTTTTGGGCAATCTTTTTTTTTCTTTTTTTCCTTTTGGTGAGGTGATTGGGGTTAAGTGACTTGCCCAGAGTCACACATCTAGGAAATATGTGTCTGAGGCCAGATCTGAACTCAGGTCCTCCTGACTCCGGTGCTCTATCCACTACTCCACCTAGCTGTCCCTGGGCAATCTTTTTTTAAAATGATATTTTATTTCCCCCCAATTACATGTCAAAACAATTTTAACATTTTGTTTAAAGTTTTAAGTTTTAAAGTTTAAATTCTATCCCTCCCCTCACTCCTTCCTCCCTCCCTGAGGTAGTAAGCAATCTGATATGGGTTATACATGTACAATTTCATGTAAAACATTTCCATATTGGTAATTTTGAACAAGAAGACTAGAACAGAAAAAGAAAGGAAGGAAGGAAGAATGAAGGTAAGGGAGGGAAGGAGAGAGGAGGAAGGTAGAAAGGAAAAGAGAAAAATGAATATCTATTGAATTGCATTGTATTACTGGTGGCAGTGGGGGCAATATTGCATGTCTTAAGTTTGTTAGAAGGTCGTTTCTTTATCTATGAAATTAGTCAGTTGGACTAGATTGGTTGGTTTTAAGCCTGGGTTCTTAGACCCCCAAAAGGATAGATTTTAGGGAGTCTATGAACTTGGATGGGAAAAAAAATTTACATCCTTATTTTCACTCATCTCAGACTGAAAAACTAGCATTTCCTGCATTTTGTTTTATTATATGTATTTTAAAACATTATCCTGGGAAGGGAATCTGTAGATTCCACCAATAGGGAGCACATGTCATAAAGGTTAAGAACTTCAGGACCAAAACATTTTTAGGGTCTTTCTGAGTTCTAAGAGTCTCTTTGAGTCCTGGCTGACAAACTAATGGCTCAGTGAAGATGAGAAAGGTCAGTTTCTTCTACTTATAGGTGTTCAGGGATTTTGTTATTATTCTTATTCAAGAGCAGTTTTTCAAATCTCACCCAGAAATAATCACCATAGAATATTAGGTATGGAAGGACCCTAGGAATCATTTAGTCAACTTCTTTTGTTTTGTACTGAAGTATTAATATTTGATGTAACTTATCTAAGGCGACCCAGCTGGATGATAGTTAAACATAGACTATAATTGAACTGTCTTGACTCTTACTCCAGTAATCCTACCACCGTACAGGCAAACAGCCACAAAGTCACTAAGGACAATGTTAAGTATTCATATTATCCAGCACCAATACTCCAATGGACTTGTGTTATATGATAGTCTCTCCAATAATGCAGATTGCAAACCATCATCAGATCAAAGACAGACCTGGAAAGGACTTAATTTTATTTTTTTTAGGCAATTGGGGTTAAGTGACTTGCCCAGGGTCACACAAGTGTTTGGTCTGAGGTCAGATTTGAACTCAGGTCCTCCTGACTTCAGGGCCGATGCTCTATCCACTGCACCATCTAGCTGCCCCTTGAAAGGACTTTAGAACCTATCATTTTACAGATAAAGAAACTGAGGCTTATAGAGATGAAGTGATTTGTCTAATGTCATCCATGCTTATCTGTGCTGGGTGAGTTTCATCCATTCTTCCCACAAATCTATGACAGGGAGTCCACCAACCTGTTGGAAGCACATGGGCTGCCCCTCAGCTGTCCCTCAGTCTTACCCTGTGACCACCCTTTTCACACAGTTCTCTGATGAACTTTTGTGAAATTCCTCATTTGCAGTATGCACCTGCTCATGTCTCTAATATGTAGTTTGCTCATAGATACCAGATGTCTCTCCATTGCCAGTTGGGTACAACTCCTTTATTGGCCAGTAAGCCATTCCTCCATGAAGTTATAAATTACTTTTGTCTTCCGGTTTTGTTTATAGTGAAAAATATCAAGATTTATAAGATTAATTTCATGGTATGTCCATGGTGTACTGTGCTAGGCACTGGGATAGAAAAAAAGGCAAATGGGATAGGAGGGTCAGTTCTCTGGAGTTTACTCTCTACTAGAAGGATTGATCATGGCTCTCAAGCACTCTTTAAAGTCAGAGAGAGCAGCTCTGTAAAGAAATGAATTTTTACATTACATCTGGATTTTTACATTAAAAAATTACAAATCAATAAAGATTCTAAAGATTGTTACAATTATAAACAATTAAGAGTTCAATGATTGTTTAAAACTCTGCAGATTGCCATATAGAAATATTTTTTAAAAGTTCAAAGTATGTACCAAAATAGGTATTTGAAGACATGGTCTGTACATGTTATATTCTTAATTTTTATTATTCGTGTTAAACTTTTTAGATAAATTAGAATACTTTCCACCAGTTTCATATATGTATGTATGAATATATAATATACTTTTTGTTTATTTTAGGCCTTCTTTCAGACACCTTCTACATGATTCCTTCCTGACTTCCTCCCCAGCTGCTGTTGCCCTCTATCCCCAAAATATACCATGTATATATTTTGTATAAACTTATGTAAATGCTGTTTTCTTCCAGATAATGAAACTCCTTGAGGGTAGGGTCTGCTTCTTCTTCCTTTTTTTCCCACTTGTGTATCCCCAGTGCCTGGCACAATACCTGGCCTTTAGTAGGTAATAAATGTTTGCTGATTAGATTCATTGGAATTTGTGTAGCCAAGACATAATATTGTGAACTATAAAGATTTCCGGTAGAGAACATTGTGCTTAGCTTATGTTTCTCATTTGGACTCTGTCTCTCTCTCTCTCTCTCTCTGTTTACCTTTATAGATATAGGATATAGATAGATATAAAAAGATGGATATATTTATCTATATAATACATTTATCTGTATATACACATGTGAATACACAGAACAAACGTCCATATATACTACATTTATATACATGAATGAGTTCTTTATATATGTTATATAAATATGTATATAAATGCATGTGTATATGCGCATACACATTTGGATTTATGTGTGTTATAATATGTATATGTCTGCTTGTATGTATAAATGTGCATGTGCACACAATGTGTTTTGCCATTGCCGATCATAGAGAAGACTCAGGAACCCTTTAACTTTGGATCAGAGAAATACTCCAAACAAGACGCAGTCCTTGGCCTTCGGGGAAAATCAGTAGATTTAAACCTACCCACCCTTTCCTTTTCCCCAGCTGCCAACAGGCAAAGCCAAGCGAAAGCCTGGCTGTGCTGCCTTGGCCTGGAGTGAACTCCCCCCCTCAACCCCCATCCAGAAGAGTTGCTCGGGTGAAAAGTTAGGGGTGGTTACTATGTCAACCAGGGAGGCTGGCTTCTTTTCTCCTCCCTGCGGCCGGCCCGATGCGCTGCGGGGAGCGCGGGGGCCACCAAAACTGAAGGCTGCTGGTTTCTTCTCCCTCCTGCTTGGCCCGGCTCTTTCTTAGGCAGCCGCCCCGCCCCCTGGCCGGCGGTGGGAGGCTCTGAGGCCCCTGATTGGTGCGAGGGCGCTCGGGCCCCGTCGGCCGCCCAAGCATTCAGCTTGCTTCATTGCTTTGGAAACCCTGAGTGATCGTCCTCCACTCCGGCTCGGGCGGGGAAACTACTGAAAGCCACGGCAGCGCCCGTGCGTGTATTCAGCTGGCATGCACTTTGGAGATCTTCTGCCTTTTAGAAACTGCCACTGAATCCAAACGCTAAGATCGTCCCCTGGTTTGTGTGCGCGGGTGGAAGTTTCTTTGGGGGTTCTGCGAAGAGGTAAGGTTGAACTAAGAATGAATAAGTCATCCCTGTACCTCTCCTTTCCAGTGAACTGACATAACCAGGCTGTGTCTGTGTGGCTATAATTGAAGCCTTGGTGCATGCCTTCCTTTGCCCATTCATCCACTTTCACTTAGACTCAGTAAAATATGGACTCTGATTGGAAGAGTCCAAGGAGAATTAAGATGGTTTAGATCGAAGGATAATGGAGATGCTCCACCCCTCTGGCTGCGTCTAAGGTGCTGTCTGGTCCTCTTGACCACCTGTTTGTTCGGCAGGCGCTTTGCACCTCCGTACTGTGTGCAGCGTTTGCTTCTCCCTTTTTCCCGCTCGCCCCTAGAAAAGGCTTGCCAAAGCCGGGACCGAATTTGTCTGATGTGCTGTGAAGCGTCGGCTGGCTCTGGGACGTGGTTGATTGCTTACTGACTGTGGTAAAACTTCACTCCCCCATTCAAGTGTCTGGCCCTCCAGAAACTTCCTCCGGCCTGGTGTGCTGCCTGGGGCAGCATGAAAACTTCTCTCCAGCTTTCACTAGTTGTGGCTGCTTTTCTTCTCTTTGTCTTCTCAGTGGTGGGAAACTGGGAGTAGAGGCAGACCACTTACTGAATAACTGGGGTCAGATGGGCCTCCCCCTATGCGGGGGACCTCAGCGGTGTCATTACCCTGAGATACTGGGTAGGACGTGGGAGAGCTTGGCTTCTAAAGGCGATACCCCCTCCCCCCTCCTCCAGACTTTGGTAAGTTTCCAATTTCAGGAGAAAGTAAGGGGAACCTGGGGACATATTCTTTCTGCTATCTGAAGAAACTAAGCTGGTGAAGTTAGTCCAGTTTTTCTGTGTGAGATGGGAAGATTGCTATATACTAACCCCAAGGAAAATATCAAGCTTAACATTGCCGCCAAGGTCAGGGGGACCTCAGGTGATCTGCTGGCTGAGCAGCCACTTGGCTGTGCAAAGTTAAATCGCCTGGGACTCTGCCCAGAACAAAAACAAAATAAAAACCTTGCTGGTTGGGGTTAGTTTTTAACACAATAATAATAATAATAATGGGTTTGGAGTCAGGAAGACTTGAGTTCAAAGCCTGTGTCTCAAGCTTAACAGCTGTGCAAACTTGAAATTATAAAATCATAATCTCTAGAGCTGGAGGGAACCTCAGAGGCTATGTAGTCCAATCCCCTCATTTTACAGATGAGGAAATTGAGACCCAGAGAAATTGATTTTCTAAGGTTACAAGATGCTTTAAGCAACTCCTTCCCTTGATTACATCTAATTTGGTGGAAGAGAATACTTTGATGAAGTCACTGACCCTTTGAGTATTTTAATAAAATGATTTAAAAAAATAGTACCTGTGATTTCATCAGGATCTGGAGTTCCTGGTAAAGAACTCCTTCTACCAATGTAGATGGGCACTTGCTCTGTGACTTCCAGTCTTAGAGTTTCCTGAAGACACTGAGAAATTAAATAATTTTCCCAAGGTCACATAACTAGTATGAGTCAGAAACAGGACTGGAACACAGGTCATCCTGACTCCAGGGCTCTCTAAACACTGTACTGCATTTCCAGCAATAGTGATGATGATGATAAAAATTTGAATTTATTTTCTACTTTTTCCTGAACTTATAAGCTTTTCACTACTTGGACTGCTCACATTCATACCTTTGTCCTTCACTCTGCTCACTGTTTTCTCCTATTCTTCCTTGGCACTTCACCCAATTCTGTTGCACTCCTTTTATTCCAAACACAAAATCTGTCCCCGTTGCTCTTCCATCCTACAGTCAGTTCCCCTCTGCTGCCCCCACTGCTGTCTTTCAGATATTCCCATTACATCGTGCTCCACCCTCTTCCCTTTTAAGTACCCCCTATGTGTGCTGGGCTGTTCCCTTCTCTGTTCTTACTTCCCTCCCAAGAATAATGTAGTGTCTCCCATGGCCACCCTTATCAGTCTTAGTACGTGTTCCTCTTACATCTTTCTGTAACTGCCCCTCAATAAAAAGTGTTTCCATTTTCAATCGATTTCTTTGCCTTTGACATCCTTCCCTCCTGTCCCCAGTTTAATTGTTTTTTGGTCCTGCTACTTACACCCTGGTTTCTCTGCTTCCTCCTCCACCCCAATTACCCCTTCCCAAACCAACCCACCCCAGTTCCTTTCATCTTTTTTGCTTACTCCTCCCATGTATTCCTTTACCCTGATCAGCCTGTTGCTTTATCCTAAACCACACCTTGTTTCAATATTTTCCCTCCTGTTTTTTTTTTCTTCTTCCACTTTTTCCCTCTCTCTGTTCTCTCCCACATATCCTAGATTCCTAGCTCTCACTAACCCCTTTCCAGTCAGTCACCTATTTTCCTCTAGATATCTATTTAGGGATTTTGGAAATGCTGTTTAAAACAGAACACACTAAAAAAGAAAAGAAAAAAAAAGCCCAGAGTATTTATTTGCAATTAACCCAGTAGTGTGGCTATCAGGCCCCCTACTGTACCCCACAAGCATTTTTTTTTTCATTTTAATGTAGTATCTTTCTTCCATAGCTCAGAATTGTTTAGGTTGGGGAGAGCTAAAATTCAGCTTTGCTATGCAACAGTACTCCCCACCACAAAAAAAAAATTACTCATTTACCACAGTTTTAACTAATCAGCAATTTGCCCTCCTCTTTTAGTTCTCTTAATTGAAATCTCTGAGGTCTCAGCTTCCACTGGGATTTCTGGGAGATAACATGCATTAAGCACTTTCCTGGGAGTGGGGAAATCCTGATGAGTGGTATCTCCAGAAAGCCCCAGGGGGCACAGGCTAAACTGACTTATCAATTAATCAAAATTTTCAGTTGTCTGCTGCTCCCTCATGGACAGTATTGCCCCTTCTGGCCACAGGAAACAAAAGAGACAGCTCTATATTGGGCTTTACTGGGTTAGAGAGTCTCTTAGGAGGAACTGGCTATGGTAACTGAGCAAAGAAATTATAGCTTTTAAGAGGCAGCCTGGGGTAGTGGACAGAGAACTAATCTCAGGGTCAAGAAGGCCTGAATTTAAGGTCTGTTTATCATACATGTAGGCAGGGTAACCAGTCACTTAAACTCTCAGTGGTGCCCCAAGCAACTTGAAGATTATAAGTTACAAAGCATTTGCTGGTCTGCATTGGTAGAGGGATGGGCAGTGGGTAGAGTTATGGGCCCAAGTCAGGAAGATGCCTCATCCTGAGTTCTAATCCAGCCTCAGACACTTCCTAGCTCTGTGACCCCTAGCAGGTCATTTAGCCCTGTTTGTCTCAGTTTCCTCATCTGTAAAATGAGCTGGAGAAGGAAATGGCAAACCAACTGCAATATCTTTGTCAAGAAAACCCTAAATGGGATCAAGAAAAATGGACAGAATTGAACAACAACATTGGTAGAGGGACTTTCTTCAAAGGGAATTTTATATATTGAAATCATAGTTTGAGTCCAGAAACTGGTACTTTAATAGTCATTTGTTTGTTTTGGAGAATGCTACTGTTTTTTATTAAGCCCTAGTAATTAGGTGGCATGTGATTTCCATTTTGTACTGTGACTACTGGGGCCTCCAATAGCCCTAAGACTTTAGGAATCCTAAGATAACAACAATAGCTAGCTGTTATAAGCAAAAGCATTTTGCACATCATTTGATCCTTACAACAACCCTGGGAAGTAAATGCTGTTATTATCCTCATTTTACAGATGGGGAAACCGAGGCACAGGGCAGTTAAGTGATTTGCTGAGGGTCACACAGCTAGTAAGCATCTAAGGCATAATTTGAATTCAGGTTTTCCTAACTCCAGGCTCACTGCTGTGTCCACTTGTCAGATTTAGAGCTGGAAAGGACCTTTAAAGGCTGTCATCTCTAACCACCTCATTTTACAAATGAGGAAACTGAGATCACAGAGAGATTAAGTGACTAACCCAGGGTCACACAGCTAGAAGAAGTCTAAGGCAGGCTTTGAAACCAGGCCTTCCTGACTCCCAGTTTAATGTTCATCCCCTTACTTCACTCTGCCATCCATAATAGGTTGATAAATATTCCCCAGACCGTTACTTTAACCTTAGAATTCAATATGTTCACTTTGTGACATATGAGAAAGAAAAACTTTTACTTCAAGGATTCATTTAATTGAAAGATTCTTTTTGATGTCTTTCTCTAGGTTAAAAAATCAAACAAAAACACAACATTGTTTTTAGGAGCACTTCTTAAGACAAATCTTCAGATACAGGAGCGCAAAATTGCAGGAGCAAAATGCTGTAGAAAGAAAAAAGATATAAAAAGAGAAAAGGATAATTTTATATTGCTTTCTGTAGACAGCGTATATATAATATGCATATATACCTACACATATATATGTGTTTGTATATACATGCTTGTGTGTATATACATACATGCACACATATACATGGATAAACCTTGATTTTAAAATAAGTGATGTGGAGAATTTGATTTGTACTTCTGCATTTTGGGGGGATAGATATAGCTCCTTTATGCTGAGCTCCTCAGTAAAACAACGGCCTGTTAAAACATGGGAGGTTGTGCCTCTGCTTTATCCTCAAGCATTCATTTGATTTGGATATTGATGAAAATGAATGAACTTTAAGCATATAGGTCAAGGGTCTAGTCCATTTCCTGCTCTATCACAAAGTCATTCTTGGGGTATGAACAACTCACTTAGACTCTGTGTCCCAGAAGATGCTTGCGGGTTTTGGCAGTAAAGGAACAGAATGAAAACAATAGATTCTGTACCTGTCTATACTGATAAACTGATGCCAAGGAGAGATGGGAAGTCAGGAAGACCTGAGTTCAGGTACTGCCTTGGATGCTTACTAGCTGTGTGACCATGGACAAGTCATTCAGGTTCAGTCTCAGTTTTCCCTTATCTGTTAAATGGGGATCCATTAGTAAATAGTTCCTACTTTCAGGGTTGTTGTAAGGATCAAAGGATCAAATGAGATAATATTTGTTAACTTTAATGCAAACTTGCACTCAAACTTTAAGGCACTAATATAA